CCATAATAATAAGATGTTTTGGAACAACAAGAAATGGGAAGTGAGAATCATTACTCCACGGCATAATTCCATATTTCTGCTACACATCGAAACCCTAGAAGAGAAACTTACTTCAGAAAGAAGCCTATTCTTAGGAAGCAATTTCGCCACTTCCGGTGGGAGAATCACATGCCTGAATTTCAAAATTTCAAAAAAAAAATGAAATCAACTAACATACCATAGACAACAATTTTTCCCATTTCAAAACATCAGACGAAAGGGTAAAATTCAATACCTATACTCGTGAGTGTCATCCGTGTACTTATCGGAATACTGGATCTGGCCCATTCTAACCCCCCCGATTACCGGATCGGAACGACTGATGAGCGCTTGTTCCTGATCTGTCTGAACTCTGAAGATAAGAAATGAAACCCTAATTTAAAATTTAAAAATTAGAAATAAGAGACACTCCGTACATGAAGAGGTTTGGAGCGGGAGAAGGGGGAGATTAGTCCCTATATACTATATGGACCAAAATTCGAATTGTTGGATTAGGGTTTGATTTTGACAAAAAAAAACGGCAAAAATGATGGTCTAATCACGGAATTTTAAATTACTCTCCTGCTAACGGCATTATAATATAAGGAAAAGGATTTAATTCTCTTTTCTTTTTTGAAATTTGAATTTTCGAAATCCCTATCATTCTAATCGGAGGGGTTCTCACCAGGGTCGCTACGGTGCCCCGTTTGTAAATTGACGTTTCTTACCCCCGGCAAACCCCTGCCCAATCCAAACATTCTCCACCCCTTCAGTTGCACCACACAAATTAATTTTGAGTAGTCATTCTATTACATGGAATTCCAATGTTATGAGTAGTCGTTCGTATTCTCATTCAAATTAAGCAAGTGTGTATTGTTATAGTTGAGGACTTGAGGTTCTTGGAAAATGCTAGTCATAAATAAATACTTCACAAACATCACAAATTCGTCATCTGTAAATTTTAAATTAAAAATCTTTTATTATTTAAGTGTATCTTATTTCTAAAAAAATGTTAAAATACAAGTTTGTGACTTTTGTGAACTATTTCTTTGTGACTCTAGCACTGCTCGAGATTCTTTCGACAATTTTTCCTGTCCTAATATGACAATAGCCTCTGCAATGCTCGGTGCTCTACTAGAAAAATACATACCTTTCAATATATTTTTGGAGAAATTATTTAAAATAACTCTCAATTTTACTCGGTTTTTTAAAAATAATTCTAGCCTTCACTAAAGTTTTAAAGTGAACAAATAATTTTCATTTGATTCTTGATTCGTATTCAAAATCAATGATTCGTATTCAAAAAAGTGAATACGGATAAGAATATAAATATTTATTAGAATTCGAAAGAAAACGAATACGAATACAAATGTATATGTATTCGATTTGATATATGTTAACGAATATATATAAATTTAAATATAGAAATTTATATCTAATATATTTGGTTCATAATACAAAGTATTCCGTAGGGACAAGATTTGCCTACACACATTCTCTCCAGATTATACAATCGTGGGATCTAACCAGGTTGTTATTATAGACATGCCATTTTTAGTACCCTATTAATTTTGTAAAAAAAGACTAAAGTAAAAGTAAATATTGAAAATAAATCAAAATAGGTGTTATATGTTTTTATTCTTGAAATAAGAGTTAGAATGCATTTATAGTGCTAAAAGTATTGCGAATTGTTTATACGCAATGTCACATTACCACAGTGCGAACTCCTATTTTAGAAATAAAATATGAAGTTCATATTTTGATATTTTATCTATATTTTACTCCTATTTATAGTAATTTTTTACTAATTTTTGAAGCTATAAAACGTAAAAAAATAAAAATAGTACTCCCTCCGTCCCATGAAACATGGAATGTTTTGGTTTTTGAAGAGATTTAAGGGAGTGTATTTTGGTATTGAATTTTCAAAAATATCCTTTGATGTGATGGGTAAAAGTAAGATTTGATGGATAGATACGAATAGTAATGATTATTCGAATAGAACACAAATATGAATATAAATAATGGTATCACTTTTCAAATATCAATAAAATGTCATAAGATTCGATTCGTTCGTTTTACAACTCTACCCTTCACCGTGATGCATAATAATTTCAAATTTACTGAAAATTGTAAGTATCGGGTCGCCGTTAAGCTACTAGCAGTTGATTAACGGAAATGACATGTTTTACGCAACAAATGAAAGTTAGAATTATTTTTTATGATTTTTCATTTTTTAAAAATTTTCTTATATTTTTAAAATGACTTTCTACCTACATCAACTCTTTTTCTTTTTTTAAGATTAGTCTTACCTCAGAAAAATAAAAAATAGATATAAAAAGTAAGAAAATGAAAAAAAAATTAAAATCACACAAAATTAATGAAAA